GGCAAAGGATTAAAAACAAACAAACAAACACAAATCTTACCTGTATAGGTAAGAGTTTCCTGGCCAGGCTCTCACCTAAGATTCAGGTCAGAGCTTGGCCATGGAATTCTTACCTCTTAGCCCTGCATGGCTCAACTCACAAGGGTCCATAGCAAAAGGCCAAAGCTTGGCTGGGCGTTTTATAAACAATGAGTGAAATTCGCCATTTCATGCTTTCTCTGTTGCTAGTCTTCAGAAGGCTTTAAATGTCATATATGCAAGCCTGAACCAAAACTGAACCTTACACATCTCATGATGGATTTTCCCTGCAGTTTTTTCCTGGCATTCAGAAGTAACACATTACAAGTAATACGTGACCGTCTTATTCTTTTCAATAACTATGGGCAACATTATTTGGGAAAACTACCATCAGAGGCCATGAGGGTTCAGAAGCAAGAAGGAACACCATTTTAGTCATTAAAGTGTCTTGGTGTGGTCACCCTGGGAGGTTTTTTTTTTTTTTTGCCTTTTTGTATTGGAAACTGATTTTTAAAACTCACATTTTAATGTAATGTATTAGCAATGTACGTACAGTACTAGTTGCCAACAAGCAAAGGAAGGGGTTAAATGTTTCACACAGAAAAGCCGAATACTAAATGCATTAGCCTCTCCCTCTCTCTGTGCACACACACGTGAGTGCGAGCAGTGGTTATAACACTGGAATAGGATCTGAAGCACTCCGATTCGAATTCCCAGTCAGTCATGAAACTCCCTGGGTGACCGAGAGCCAGGTACACACTCTCAGGTGACCTAATTCACAGGGCTGGTGTCAGGAGAAAAGGCAGAGAGGGGAGAAGAACCTATCACATCTCTGTTGCTCACTGGAGGAAAGTTGGGAAATCCACTCCCCATAGGATGGAACTTTCCCTCCAAACCCATGACAGACAGGTACCATCAGTGCTGTATGTGACAGTCATGAAACTCCCTGGGTGACCGAGAGCCAGGTACACACTCTCAGGTGACCTAATTCACAGGACTGGTGTCAGGAGAAAAGGCAGAGAGGGGAGAAGAACCTATCACATCTCTGTTGCTCACTGGAGGAAAGTTGGGAAACAAATTTAGCAAATAATAAATAGACGAAATGCAACTTTATAACTCATTGCACAAGTACTGTATTTCCTGCTCGCTGGACTGGCATCACAGTGGAGGTTCTTATTCTGGAAGGGTACCACTAAGAACCAGTTTTCACAATAGTGAAGCATGATGTAGTAGATCCATATTGTTGCCATTTTTGTCCAATGACCAGGCCTTGAAACCCATTTGGGATTGGCTAGAAATCCTGACGGGTGCCTCCCCCCCCGGGAGTCCAAGCACACACAAGCACACACACATTGCATAGGCTTTTCTAGGCATCGCAGTCATCCAGGCAAATGACAGGCCAGGCCTTGAAAAGGCAGTGAGTCCAGGAAAATGGCAGACACTCGGCTAATGGCCACCCTATTCTGCCTGCAATTCCCAGTCAGTATTATGGTTTCCCCCCCCTTGGCTTAATGTTATGTTGCTCACTATAAACAAGTTACTTGTTAGCTAGTTTATATTTTAAAAAATATACTTACCAAGAAATAAATGGCTCCAAATCCCCTCAATGAACTCACACCAAGCAGCACACTCCAAAAGACAACATTGCTTTTTATTTATTAGATTGCTTTTTGGTTTAAATCAGGCTTGTCCAACCTGCGGCCCGAGGGCCACATGCAGCCCAGGTTGGCTCATAATGAGGCCCAGTGCAATTTTTTATTTCTAAAGAAATTCCAAAGTTTCCAGTTACACTGCCGACGCTTGCGGCCGGAATGTGGTCGGGGTACGTCACAACAGTAGAGGGGGAGAGAGGGAAGGAAGGAAGGAGTGGGAGGGGAGGGGACAGGGGGGATGCGTGACTGCATTGCGCCTGCCCCGGCAATAGGTGGCCCCATAAAGCCGCTGGAGTCGAAGCTGGTAGCCTCTGCTGTCTGAGATCGCAGCTGCCGGTAAGCGCGCTTGGAACGGGGCTGCAGAGGATGGCTAGGGCTGCCACCCCCATGCGGCCCAAACCAAATTTTCATCTTCTAATGTGGCCCAATTGAAGGTGAAAGGTTGGACACCCCTGGTTTAAATGAATTCCAAAATGAACATCTTCTGGATGATGTTGTTGGATGATGCTGGACTATTTCCTTACGAGCAGCCATGTTCTCTGAATGAGTGCTTCAGCGAGAGGCTTGCAGAGTTTGAAGCAAAATGGGCCCAACTGCTTTCTTCTGAACCTTGACTATTTCTTTCAGTCTCAAGTCAAATTTCAAGGAAGGTGAAATGCTTAATGAGTTCACTGAAGCACCATATTATACATTCCAGTTTCTGTTCAGCTAGATTCTCAAACAACTCTGTGTTTATCTTGTTTTCAAACCACATCTTGAAATGCATGACGGAACATTTGAATGCATTTACAACAAGAGGAGCGAAAGGTGATTACATATATTTGCTCACACATTATGTGAACATGTGGGGAACTTATGATTAATTAACTTGGACATCAGGCATAACTTCTGAAGCTATCTCTATAATTAAATATGGCACAGCAGACCTTTACCCAATCCCAAGCAAGCCTATATAGGTCGCACCGGCTTGTTTCAAAAGAGCTTGTGCAGACAAGCCCAGACTTAAATGTGGTTGTAGCTAAGCATGAAGGGTGCAATGAGAAAATAAAATATGCCCTGTTAGAGGAATATCTGCACTCTGTTCATTTCTGTCTCTTTCCCAGCACTGGAACCTGAAAAAGGAAAACAATGAATTTGACTAATAAGAGTACTGAATTAACACAAGAACAAGGCTTGAGGCATTTTAATACATTTTAACTGCGTAAGCTTTCAAGGTTCGCAGCCTGTTTCACCAGACGTGAACACAAGACTCTTTACCATTTTTAATCTTTGGATGTTAGGATAGATACCTCTGTACACAGCCTACAATGCACAAAGCATCGTTGAATGCTCCCCATTATATTTCAAATACGGATACGGTCCATATATATTTCATCACCCTATCATCTCAACAACACGGCAACAATCAACCAGATCGTTATTACTTTTTGGCAATGCGGCCATCCTGTATAGTTACCTAACAGAAAAAAATGTTTGCAGTTTTCCTCCTATCCCCTTCCTTTCACACAGCATGCAAGCACACATGTAGGAAGGGAAAATACTTGGCTTCCCGCTTCCAATGTCTATTGGATTAGGTTTTTAACATTATCAAAAGGATAATTCAAAACACCCAATTCTATTACAGTGGACCCTTGAGTTACAGACGGCTTGACTTACAGACTTTTTGAGTTACAGACTTCTCTGGCCGCAAAATTTAGGTTTGACTTGCAGACTGAGATTTGACTTACAGACCAGAAAAAACCCAAAATGGAACAAAAACGGCCTGTTACGGGATTAATCGGTTTTCAAGGCACTGTAGGTCAATGGAGACTTGACTTACAGACTTTTTGACTTGAGAACCGCCTTCCAATAGGGATTAAGTTCTCAAGTCAAGACCCCACTGTATGAGTTTTTTTAAAATTATCAGGAGAGCTTAAGTGGCCATTATAGCTTTGATGGCACATCTTGTGGCGATTGGACCACAAAAAGCACCACCCAGTTTCTGGCTTTCTGCATTTCATAGCCTCTGTACAGTTGCAGTGGAAACGGACAGCTTTGCTAAAGCCTTATCCATGTGAGGTTTTGGTTTGAGCTTGATTACATAAACACCCCATGCTGTTTTACTGATCTCTTTGTACTGATTTGTTCTCTTTTTGACTATAGTCTGAGAGAATTCTGTGAATTGCTGCAGTTGCCAGATGGCCAGAAATACTAGAGGGGAAAAAAACCCATGTGGTTTTGTGCCTTTTCACTGTAAAAGTTAATTCCTGAGTGCTTTTCATCCTTCTGATTTGATTTATGGGACAAAAGCTACCTATATTAAGATTGAACCCTGGAAAGGTGGAATTTGAAGAGGCCTTTTCTAAGGATAGAAATGCAGGAGCAAGAGATACCTTTACAGTATTAGACAAAAAAAACTGAACAACAGCAATCTTTCCATGAAACTTCATCTTCTTCAGGCTCTGTACCAAGTTCCTGTGGGTCATTCCAAACATTATACTGTATACTTTTATTAATTAATCATTTTTTCTAAGGATTAATGGCACGCAGGAGAAAGATCATTGTGGCTGATTTGTTTTAGGGGATTAAAAGTGTGACCCCATACATTTCCTTGAGACTAACTTTCAAAAGGAAACGGAGGGGCTGTGTGTCTCTCCCTAGAATGCATCATATGCATTGATTACATGCGGACCATTTCAACACAGAGGCTGAATCAGATATTCTTGGTCACTTGCAAACCACTCTCAGGAAAGGGAAATGCTCTCCCCATCGCTTTCCCCATCATTACTTTTAATATAGCCTTTGAGCCTGTTTACAAAAAATATAACTTTGTTCTTCCAATCAATGCTCTGCTTTCCTAGGTCTAAAAGCATTTACTCGAGAGTAACCCCAATGGTCTAAAAGCATTATACCAATGGTCTAAAAGCATTTACTCGAGAGTAACCCCACTGCATTGTTTCCCGGCCGCAGCTCTGCCTGGAAACAACCCGCGCAAAAGCACCATGAAGACATGTCTGCAAAAGAAAAGAAAGGGAGGAAAGAGGGAGGGGATGGAAAGCAATGTGAACATTCCCATCCGCCATCTTCTGACCAATTAGAAACGCAGCAGGATGATTGACGGTGCGGCGAGCAACCCGGTTGAGCACCTTTAAAAGGGCGCGGCCGAGGCAGCCAATAGAAAGGAAGGAGGTCATTCCCCCCCCATTCCCGCGTTCGGCAACCTTTTGTTTCTTGGACGCTGGGCCAATCGATGCGCCGAGTGGGCGGGACGTTGCCATAGTTTCCCGCGGTTTCTGACAGGCCGCTCGGCCAGCGCTGAGTCGCGATTGGACAGCTGGGCGTTCTGGCGCCAAGTTCGAAACGCATATAAAGTCGGAACGAGACTCTTCGATCTCTTTGCCTTCTCAGAAGTTTCAACAGGACTCTCCGTGCTCGCTCGCTTGCTCGCTCCCCTCCTTAGTCTCCGGAGCAATGCTGTCTGCGCGCAACCCCCTCTCCGTTCGCGATGAGCAGCAGCAGCAGCAGCTGTCGTTGAAGGCCCGCCTGTCGCCCCTGAAGAACTTGGCCTTGAGCGACAAGGAGAACACGGTGAGCGGGCAGGGCAGGAGGGTCTGCCGCTGGGCAGGAGCCTTGGGCAAGGCGGGAGGGGGCGCAGCTATTTCCCGCCCAGAATCCCCAGGGCCCGGCCGGCGGGGGGGGGACTCTGGGCGCCCCCACCCCTCCAAGGAGGACGTCTCCCATGCTCTTAAAGGGGTTAGCTTCCCGCCGAGTCCGGCCGAGGGAAGGGAGGGAGAATGGGAGCGGGGGTTTCTTTGCCCGCCAGTTCTCCTGAGCGGGGGCTCCGAGGGGGACCCTTTCAGTCCCTCTTTCTCTCCCCCCCGCGAAAGTTATACCCTTGGACGGCGAAGACCTTTCTTGGGTCCCCCAAAGACCTCTCGGGGGGTGTGTGTGTGTGGAGGCGGCGGCTTCACAACCCTAAACAGCACTAGGCCGGGGTTGGCTGCGAGGAGGATGAGGGTGAGGATGATGGCGGCGGGTGGTGGTGCTGAGCCTCAGCCCCCCCCCATGGTTCGCGCTGCAGCTGGGGAGGAGCCCTGCCCCTTTCGGCTGCCGCCCAAGCCCAGGGGGGGGAGGCCTCCCTTCGCGGCCGGCCGGCCTTTCCCCCTCCCTTTCCCGCCAGGCCGCTTCCGGGCCCTCCCAAGCCCGCGCTCCCCCCTGTGGCCGCCCGCCCGTCCGGCTTCGCGGGCCTCTTTCTCGACCTTCGTCGACCTTCCTTTCTCTTTATCCCCGCAGCCCCCGCCGCTCCAGGCCACCCGGATCCTGGCCTCCAAAACGGCGCGGAAGATCTTCCAGGAGCCCTTCGCCCAGCCGGTAAGGCCGCCCCCCGGGGGGAGGAGGAAGAAGAAGAAGCGGGGATCAGCCGGCAAAGGAGCGAGATCGGGAGCCCCGGGGTGGTGGTGGTGGTTGTGGTCCCCGAAGAGGGAAGATCGGGAGCCTGGAGGGGGGTTGGGACGCGACCTCCCGGCCCCGCTGGTTCGGGCGCCAAGTAGAGGCCCCGTTAGGCCAAGAAAGAGGAAGCCCCCCCCAAAAAAAGGGCGGGAGGGGCTGCCTGGCCTCTGGAGACCCCGCTGCATTTTTTTACACCTCCCCTCCCCCCACCATCCAGCTAAATCCAGGTGTGTTTTGACATTTGGTCGGGACGGAGGCGTAAAAAAACAAGAAGCTCCCCTCCCTCTTAGGCCCCTTGTTCCTTGGAGCTGGAAAGGGGTTTTTTTTCCTTTGCTTCCCAGCGCGGAGGGCAGTGGCTGTTTTTAATCTTGCATGATGCATGGAAAGGGTCCCCCCACCGGCTCCTGGGGACTCTGGGAAGGCCCTCCCTTTAAACCTGTAGGTAGGGTATAAGGGGGGCAGGTGTGGGGCGAGGAGAGGGACAGACAGGGAGCGCTCAAAGAAGCTCAGGCGGCACTGGTTCCTAACCTTGCCCTTTGTTCCCTAAGAGGCCGCCTGGGATGGAAATGGCTCCCCTTGCCCTTAAGAATGGCTGCCAGGAGGCGACCCTTGCTTGGGCCAGAGGCAAAGGCAGATGGCCTCTCAAAAGAGGCAGCAGGGATATCTCTTTCCCTTTCCAAGGGGCACCCCCTGCCCGGTTGTGTTTTCCAGTCACCAGGCCTGCCACGCTCCCTAAGCCTGGTTTGGAAACCACCCACGGTAAACGGGGGGCAGGAGCGTGGCCGTGCGGACCGCTTTGCTTTCTTCGTTTCATTGCAATCTACACGGGGAAGGCAGATATCCTGAAGGAATGAGTCGCCCTTATAAACCGGGTTCTTCACATAAATTTAAGGGTCTGATTTCCCCCAGGTACAACACAGATAACTCTTCCAGAAATTGTTCCAGTCTGACAGCAGTCTCTTGTCTGCTGCTGTCTTTGGGGTGTGTGTGTGTCTTAAACACAGTTTGAGAACTTTGGACTCTTCCAAATAGTATTTTTCTGTTCCTGGCCTTAAATTAGTGCCTTACAAAATGGGCTTTGTTGCAGGTAACGTGAAACCATGTCACTGATCTAAGTGTCCTGCCTGCACTCTTCTCTTTCTCTCTCTTGCAACTGAGAGGGACCTGAGTTTTGTTCCAGCTTTAGAGAATCAGGCTTGAAATGAAGTTCCAATTAAAAACAGGCTTCAGTAAAAACTTGGGTGAATTTAAATAAGAAGGCAAATTATAAAGTTATCATCTTAAACTCACCAAAGCTTAAATTTACCAGTTTTCAGTAAAAATCTGTGGTTTCAATCTCATGCTAGGATTAGGTGTTTCAAAAACTATGCTAAACTGTTGAGGTAATCCCTGATGCGTGTAAGGGGTGGGAGGTACTGTATTCAAACGACTCATGATGTTCTGTTAACACTACAGTGTAGTGTCAGATGTGATCATAGCCATTCTTTGTAATGTAGTTGACATCCTTTTCCCACATCTTCCTTTTCTGTGTCTGTCACCTATCCGCTTCAGACATCTTTATGGTTTTACCCAGTTTTTGCTAGCACTGGCTGTAAGCACTCCCCCTTCACTTTGTCCTCTGAGCATTTTTAGAAAGATAGGAAGCTACCCTGTACCATGTCAGACCACTGGCCTTTCTAGGCCAGTTTTGTCAACTCTGTTAGGCAGCAACTCCAAGGTTTCAGGTAGGACTCTTTTGCAACTTTGTGACAATAATTGTGGTCTCCCATTCAAGTCCTAACCAGGCCTCACCTTGCTTAGCTTTGAAAATCAGACAAAACTAGTGTATACATGAACCTGGGTGGTATTATCAACATTCATTTCCTTTGCCTGGTCTGTAGACAATGGTGTGTACTTAAAACTCAAGTTGACTTACTTTGGTACTGTTCCTCATTTCCACATTTTAGGTAATGCCATTTTTGAGCATAGTATAGGCAGGTTTTCTGGGAGCAGAGTTATCTATTGATTTTGCATTTGTTTCATATTTTGTTCTGTAGGATGCACCTAAAGAAGTGACACCGCTTCCCTGGAGTAATGTACAAGAGGAACCTCTGCTTCGGGAGAATCCCCACCGCTTTGTCATCTTTCCCATTCAGTACCATGATATCTGGCAAATGTATAAGAAAGCAGAGGCATCCTTTTGGACAGCTGAAGAGGTCAGATTCTTGTATTCTTTTTCTGTCCTCAAGGTTGATGCAAGCCTTCAGTGTACAGTGTAGTTACCAAGATTTATTTCAGATTTTCCCACTCCTCTTTTCTTACTGGCTGTTGTATGTATTTAAGGTGGATTTATCCAAAGATCTCCAGCACTGGGAATCCTTAAAGCCTGAAGAGAAGTACTTCATTTCACACGTCTTAGCGTTCTTTGCTGCAAGTGATGGCATTGTCAATGAGAACTTGGTGAGTTTGAAGAACAGCCTTTGAGTCCCTTCACAACATAAACACCTCTCTTGTGTGTTGTCCTGTTGCATAGTCCTTTGTGTTGGCTTTTTCTTAGGGGTTGTGTTAGCGGACAACAAGTTAACATACGGTTCCATCTGATTTCAGTCATATTTAAAACTAGGAGTTTGGTCACCAAACAATCAACGTGCAAGCCCCTTTTAGTATGGCAGTCGGTTTTCAATGACACTCCGTGAGCCCTAGACGCAATCGTTTTGGCAGCAGTAACATCCGCTTTGACCCCTGCACACAGCAAACATTGTGTGCGAATCAGCCCATAACATGATTGTAGCACTTCTTTCTTTTACCACAACAAGCCTTTCTCATTCATAGGTGAAAAACATGAAACACCAAGATAAGGTTTTATTTTGACTAGTATGTATGCTTAAAGTTGATGAGAAAGGAACCTTTTTCTGGTTGCCAAGGATCACAAAAGCATGAAACCAGAGAAACTCGCACAAACCCTTGGGCATCAGTTATTAATGACAGCTTCAACTCTGTAAGAGAATGTAATTTAGAAACTTCTCATAACTTTCAGTAATGTACTGTAGTGCAAAGAAGACATTCCTGGTATAAGTTAACTTGTTTCATATACTCTGCTGCTACTTGGTGTATTTGATCAGCACCTATCTTCCACTGGCTGCCAGCTTTATTTGCTGCTGTTTCTATCTCCCAGGACCCTGATGGCAGCCTTGCCAATTTCATTTGAAGAATACTTTATGGGTTTTGCAAATGCCAAGAAACTTTATTTCCTTAAAGAAAGATGCAGAATAATAATAGTGGCTGAATTAAATCTTCCCACCAATATTTTTAATTGCCAAGTGGCACCTACTCACTGAGCCATCTCCTTAAGGTGGAATTTTGATTTGTTGGAAATAAGGAGCATTTCTTGCAGTTCCTGGCAAGTAAAAGCAAAGCAAAGCGTGCTGCTTATACTGTATACTGCCCCATTGTGCTTCAAGCACTCTCTGGGTGGTTTATGTTAATTATGTAGGCTACATAGCTTCCCCCCCCCCCCCGAGCTGGCTACTCATTTTACTGACCTCAGAAGGATCGAAGGCTGAGTCAACCTTGAGCCGCCTACCTAGGATTGAACCCCAGGTTGTGAGCAGTTGTAGTTGCAGTACAGCAGTTTAACCACTGCGCCACAAGTGGGAATATATAGCCTGATATTTTTTTCTTGCCATTAGATTTGAGCAACTACTGCTTGTTCCTGTTTTGTTCACTTAGCCCAATAACTATACAGTATATCGAAGCTGTTTCAACAATGGGCTTTAATGTTCTCACTAATTTTCACTAAATACATCGGGACAGGCTGCAATGGCAGTTTGATAAGCCAATTATAAAGTTTAATCGATAGTCCAGTACACAGCTGGATTGTTCCTTCTCATGAGATGGGAAGAAAACCAGGAAATCTTCAGTTCACTGCAGTTTTGCGGTGTGTGTCCAAACTGGCATTCTATGGTTAATTGGTTCTCAATGAGCCAGATTATTATTTAATATTAGTATTATAAATGAATTTTATTATATACATTCATGCATACATTACATTTTATGCTCTTCATCCCTCCCATTCCTATGGCAAAGTCATGTCAAAATTCTTATAAATATTTTCATGGAAAATTATAAATATCTTCCAAGTATATTACAGTAACCAATAATTTCTGTATACATCAGGGAGTCGCATGTTACAGGGGTCCCCAACCCCCCATCTGCGGCCTGGGGTTGGGGACAGACATATATCCCCTGTGCACACACTCCCCCCCACAACCCCTTCATGCATGCGCACAAGTGGGCCAGCAAGTGGCCCCCACTCCTTTGCGCATGCGCGCGAGCACACACCCATCCGTGTATGAGCGTGAGGGGTGCCTTGCCTTCCCCTGGGGACCACTGCCTTGTTATCCATTCCATTCATATAAACAATAAAAGGATGTTAGTCAGTTGCAAAAGAGTCAAAAGTGTTTTATTCCTTTAACTATTTGCAATTTGGTGATTAATTTTTCTTGCAGTGCTACCTGCCATACTCTTTTGAGTGCCATGCTGCAATTGATACTCTGCATGTTTTTCCACCCTTTCACTATGGTCTATCTTGCTGCAGTCAAAAGATAACGTATTAAGGTTTTGTATGAAATGGATTCATTTTCCCCCAGAAAGAGTAAGAAGTGCTAATTCTGGAGATTTAATAATCGACTGGTTTGTAATTTTATTTATTTCATTAAACACTTCTTCCCAAAATTGGCCTACCTTTTTGTGACACCACCAAAGGTGTTGAAAGGATCCCTTACACTTGAAGCCTCTCCAACACATTGGTGACATTGCAGGGTTAATACGTGAGAGCTGAAGTGGGGTCAGATACAATTTTTGGGGCATTTTCTATGCATTCTCCCTGGCTGTAATAGATATGCCTTTATACAGTATATGGGAATTTTGTACAAATACGATGCAGCTAGACATAGGATTGGACCAAACCCCTTGACTTCAAATAGAAATGGGATTACTGAGTACATTTGTGCTAGGAAAATACTTTTATGTGAAAAAGGACTTGATTGAAACATCAGCTCCAAAATGTTCATAGTACTCTATATCCTGCAATGCAATTGTGGAAGAAAAGAAAGAAGTTCCTATCGGATATCTCCCCTTTAATACCAATATATTGTCATCCATGTCTTTCACAAGTGATGAAGTATTTAATTCCCAGAATTTTTGAAAGATTGGTCTTGATAGGTATAAAACTCCATTAACCTAATAACCTCTTTCTAGGATTTTTTTGGAGGGACCATTTCAGAGAGTGGGGCATATCATGGCTAACCTGGTATCAAATAAGTAATTTTATTAGACAGGCCAACACTGTGAAACAGGCCACAAGGTGCCTCACTCCCTTTGAAAATCTTTCTAGCTGAAACAAATAGCAAATTTATTTGTTGCTGATTGAGATAGATCAAGGATCATCAATGGGGTTGCGGGAGATACGGGAACATGATTTGATTATTAAAATCAATGAAGAGAAATGGTCAGGAACAAGCCAGTTTATTAAGCCAACTTTAAACCATGACTTTATAATCCTCTCTTGTTTGAAAGCTAGTGAATTTCCTTGTTTAGGCCCATGAGGGAAACTAGAGAAATGAAAATTTCTTGGCTTGCTTCCAGCTTGCACAAAGGAAGGAGTGAGATGGCCACCAATCTTGTTTCCACCTTAACTTGTAAGTGGAATGTGATTATGGGCATGTCGCCCTTTCCTTGCATTTCACTGAAGCTGGAAATGATATCTTGCTTTCTGTGTTCAAAGTGTGGGTTTTTTTACCTTTTCAAATATTCTACTGTAAAGGGGTTTATGAAGGATAGTAGTTCCTTGCTTTGATGTCTACATTGGCTTGGGCATGTCATGAGAATGGCTGAGGTTCAGATTCCAAAAACTCCTGTATGGAGAATTAGTGCAGGGAAATCGCCCCAGAGGGAGACCACAGCTGCGATACAAGGATATCTGCAAGCGGGATCTGAAGGTCTTAGGAATGGACCTCAACAGATGGGAAACCTTGACGTCTGAGCATTCAGCCTGGAGGCAGGCGGTACAGCATGGCCTCTCCCATTTTGAAGAGACCCTTGTTCAGCAGGTCGAGGCAAAGAGGCAGTCCTGAAACCAGCAAAATCAGGGAGCTGGACAGGGGACAGATAATATTTGTCTGCAGTGTGGAAGGGATTGACACTCTCATACTGGCCTTCTCAGCCACACTACATGCTGCTCCAAGTCCTCTATTCAGAGCACGTTACCATAATCTCTCGAGACTGAAGGATGCCTACAACAGTTCCTTGCTTCACCACTGTCCTGCACAAAAAGCTAGCTGCAAGTTATACTGCTGTTTTGTTTCGTTGGCGCTGAACATCTTTTAACAGTTTTGTCAAATATTTATAGGGATCAGTGTGCATGTCCATCTCCTCCTATGACGGAAGGTAGCTGCAAAGAAAGAAATTAATCCCAAAAAGAAAGAGGAAATTGTCTAAAAACGGAAGAGATGCTTTTGACTTAAATACCATTCTTTGTCCTCTAGGTGGAGCGGTTTAGCCAAGAAGTGCAGGTGACAGAAGCTCGCTGTTTCTATGGTTTCCAGATCGCCATGGAAAACATCCATTCAGAAATGTACAGTTTACTTATTGATACATATATCAAAGACCCCAAAGAGAGGTTAGTAGCACTTTAAGTTTTCTGAGATTACTGCATTGTTTTAAGACCCTAGTTCATATTTTTAAAGACAAAGGTGGGATGTTCGTATACTTAGTATTTCAAAAGGGAGTGCGTGGTTTTCAACGGGACTAGAAATGCTCAGTCCAAACAAAGACTTATTCGATCTATTAAACCCGTTAAAGTATACAAATAAAGTTAAAAACAGCAACAGCAAAAGGTGAACGCAAAGAGTGAGCACTCAACAAGGTCCAATAAATTGGAATAAACATTAAAGAAACAGGGATGTGCTAGGGAAGCGGCCGATTGTGCCACCACTTTTGGTGCATGTTTTAAATCTTTGAAGTTTTAAAGGGGTTGCAGAAAACTGCCTTGAGGGATGGCTATGTTTGGTCCACATGCAAATCCTGTGCTCCATCTTCTTTGGTTATGCTGTCTAGAGTTGAGGAAAGCTGCAGGTCAAAAATATCTGCATAGCCAAAGTTTCCTGGTTTTTGGTGGTGGATCATGCTATTGGTAGATTTATTTTTATTTTTTTGCCTGGCAGAATTTTTTGTGTGACGGGTGTTCAGTGCTGGGGTTGCCAGCCAACTTGGAATTTGGTCTCCAGCTTGAGTGAAATTGTCAGCCCTTGGTACAGAACCGTCTGAACTTAGCACTTCGTCTTCATAGATTCCTTGAGCTTCTTTCTCTAGCCATATGGTGCATTATGCTGCTTCCTGAAATGTCTGTCAGCTCAACATACCTTGACATGTTGTTGTTAAAAAGGTGTCAGTGCCTCCTTTATTCTAGCTAACTGTAACCTGTGTTACTGTATTTTAGGGAATTTCTGTTCAATGCCATCGAAACCCTACCTTGCGTTAAAAAAAAGGCTGACTGGGCCATGCGCTGGATAGGGGACAAGCAAGCTGCTTATGGTGAGTGTCATGAGTAATCTCTTCTATTCCTCTTTGTCTGCTTCTGACGTGGTCTTGATCAAATCACCCAGGAACTCACCCGTGGACTTTTTCCTCAACAGGAGAACGAGTAGTCGCCTTCGCAGCTGTGGAAGGAATATTCTTTTCCGGTTCTTTTGCGTCTATCTTTTGGCTGAAGAAGCGAGGGTTAATGCCTGGGCTTACTTTTTCCAATGAACTGATCAGCAGAGATGAGGTAAATGTTCAGTTCCTAAGGATTGCATCCAGGTATTTTTGCTTAAACCGGATAAAGACACACTGTTTCTCTCCTACCTATTTCCAGCCCTTTCTTCCAGCCTGTGTATTTTTCTGAAGATGGTTGGCTCGCAGGGAAGGTTGGGCACCGCAGTGAGGGGGGCGGGGGAAGGCTGAAAAAACAGAAATGCTTGATATGAATGTAATGCTGTTCTGTGGAGACTGATTCCACCAAAAAGTTCTGCTTCATGAGGAAATGCTTGGTCACCGTCATTCTGTGAGAATGAAAATGACTTAAATTTGTTTTATTGTTAATGGTGGAGAGCTAAGTTTAACGGGTTACAAGCCACTGGCAATGGTGCGGCTAAAAAATATTTTTAATGGTGGAGAGCTACGTTTAACGGCTTACAAGCATTTACCTGAAACCTACGCGGCAATCTTTCACTGAATCTGTTTCCCCTTTCCTGAAACCTACGCAGCAATCTTTCACTGAATCTGTTTCCCCTTTTAGGGTTTTTTCCACAGGCCTGCTGGTGATTGTGAGGGAGAGCTTTGTACCACCTGTTCCCTAAAGTTTCTTCTCATTATTTTTTTCCCTCAGGGTTTGCACTGTGATTTTGCTTGTCTGATGTTCAAGCATTTGGTACACAAACCGTCAGAAGAAAGAGTGAGAGAGATCATCACAAATGCGGTCAGAATAGAGCAGGTAATTGGCCGTGCTTTCTGGTGGTGGTGAAAAGGGCCTGCCTGAAAGTTTTGAGAAGCTTAGCCTGGTGTTAAATTGTCTGGATGGTGCCATATTTGCATACTAAGGTACTTTGTTCACTTAAATGCAGGAATTCTTGACGGAAGCACTGCCTGTAAACCTAATTGGCATGAATTGCACTTTAATGAAGCAGTATATCGAATTCGTAGCAGACAGACTGATCCTGGAACTAGGTTTTAACAAGGTGAGTACTGTGTCATTTGGCTCTAAGGAATCTAGTGCAATTTGTTTATGTTTAAGCCTGTTTATTCACATTTAAGCAATTGCTTTTTATCTTGTTAGTGGGAACGCATGATCAAACAAAGCCTTAATGCAATGGTACAGCCTATTTGTTTTAGTTACTTTTCTTCCAAAAGGAAAACATGCACTACAATGTTATTCTAGCCCTACATTCTTATTAAATAACTATTATCAGATGATGCCCCCTTTTCCTGTATACTATATTATCAACCTGTGACTAACGGACAATGAGTTCCTAAATTTGTGCTAATAACTTTATAGCTGACTGTTTTGCATGGCCTGCATTGTCTCCTATCTGCATTTCTGCCCCATGTTAAATTTACAATCAGTAAAATTTAGGTCCTGACAGTCAAGATGTGGAAGTATTAAATGATTCTAATTCTTGCTTTTAAAAACACAAACACTTGGCAGATCAACAGTATTATATGCTGCATGTGGCATTGCACATGTGCTCCCTAGCAGATTTGTTTTTGCACTCCCTACACCTCACTAAAATTATAATTTTAAGAACATTTTTAAAGTTCTGCCCTAGGGGTGTGGGGAACAAATCTGTGTTTTGAGTTATTACTATTATTTTTACTGGCAACTAGAAGGTTCAAGGGAGCTTATTAAAGTTAAACTCATTTTTGGAAACCCCCCTATAGCAGTCTTTGCACTGTAAAACTATTATATTTTAATCTGAGGGGGAAACTAAGCAAAACATTAAATTCTGCTCTCTGGCCACGGCCCTCCCAGATGTGCAATCCTTCGGTGGTTGGAAACCCTCAGCCCCACTGAAATCTTCTCCTGAGTTGTATTTTCACGCTAAATGACCATTTAGTCAGGAGATTGTTGGGGTTTTCTGCTAGAATCCCAGTATTGTCCAGATGGTGGTGCACAAAACAGGCCAACTATCCTACGGTGTCAAAGGCCCTGGCGGTATACTCCTTGGGGCTTCCTTGGGCAGCAGGTGGGGGGTAGCCTGTCTCCTGCACAGGCCTACATCATACTATGATTAACGCAGAAATATGACTCAGCTGCCTTCAATTTGTGGGGGTCTCATCCTTAGCCTAAGCAGCAAAACATCTTTGGCTTACCCAGACTGGTGGATTATAATATAGGTCATGCTCCAGTCTGCAAAGTAATGAAGAGACAAGCCCTCCGTAGCTTGTTTTAGAGATAGGATACAAAGAGGAAATAAGGAAAAAGAAGTCGAGAGTGGGCAGTTTTAGTCTACAGAAATCAGTGGGCTGGAATTGAGGTGGGGGACATTCAATACAGATATAATAGATACACAAGATAAAGGAATGTCAGTAGAGGAGCAAACACGATCAAAAGGAGAATGAGGTTGCAGGTAAATTTAAATCTGTTTTCTTCAGCCTCCTGCTTTGCGAATCCCTTCGACTACAGCACCCATCAGGTTGGGTTATGCTGATGTAAGCATTTTGGCACAAATATAGCAAGTACTGATTTTGATTGGTCATATATATCTTGGATAATAATTTTTAAAAAGTAAGCTGCCAACTTCATTTCTTTCAGATATTCAAAGCTGAGAATCCATTTGACTTCATGGAGAATATCTCACTGGAGGGCAAAACTAACTTCTTTGAAAAGCGTGTGGGAGAGTATCAGCGGATGGGAGTGATGTCCAAGCCCAATGACAACTCTTTCACTTTAGATGCAGACTTTTAAACAAAGCAGGGCTGTTTTCTGCTGCCTTGAGATATAGCTAGTAGTTTGCTCGATAATCCTCAACATTCTGGTTCTTACAAAGAGTCATGGTGCTTTAGGAGAGCTTGTGTAGCTGAAAGTGGGAGAAACGGTTTCCAGCTCTGTCACAGAAGCATTTTATGAGAAACGCCAGCTGCTCAAATCTTCTGAAATATTAATGCTTTCAGTAGCATGTTTCTGCCTCTGATGATAGACTTCCAGTAGTTTCTCCACAACAAAGCAAATAATATTGGGTACTTGTAGGAAACTGCAGGTTTTCATGCCGTTTAGTCTGGTCTATAGAAAAAGTTGTAGAAGCGATATATTGCTTCGTGGCAGGTCTTAAGTTTTTATGTAGTATTGTCATAGTTTATACATAAATCTGGCACTTTAAATAAAGTTCTGGCCTGTACTTCCTGGGAAAGGCTGGCAACATGTGAGTTTAAAAGAAACTCTTTTAGACAGCATTTAATCTTAATTTTTCTACTATGCCTTATTTACTTGCATGTAAATTATATTGGTGAAGTGCTGAAAAGAAATCTTTTAGATATGTATGACTTCTGGTGGCAGTTTGTGAATACACTTTGTGCAGAAGTAAAACCTGAATAAAATTCCAGTTTTAAAAATGCTGGATCAAAAGCTTGTGGAGTTGGTTTCTGAACTTGCATCTTATTCCATGGAATCCACCACCTTCCCCTCCAACCTACTTTTTATTAACTCCTATGGTTTGCCATACTGTTTTAAGGATTAGGTATGGCAACCACCTTCCTTAGTTATTCCCTTGCGATAGGACCAAAGTAAGCTACAAAAGCAACACAAAGGTGGTTGTAAGGTCTTTGGTGAAAAATTACAGAAGGAAAGCTAGCTTAAAAACCAAACACCTTACATATGCTAGCATTTGAAAAATATTTTATGACACCCTTGTGGTCGAGTGTGCAATTGCATCCATACATTTAGCAGCCTGCTTTGTGTGTGATAGGGGGAAAATGTTTCTTTTAGTCAGTGGAGGAAAGTAGGCTCACTTTGTGTGGACAGGGATGGGCTCACGCGTTCCCAATAACTAGATTTGGCCACTTCACTGTACCATAGCGAAATGGGGTGAGAGAACCTCTCTGTTGGAAGATATAGCCATAGCCCCCCATGTTTCCCATTGAATTTAGCAAAACAGCCCACGCCCTCGCTGGCTTGATCTGGATCTTCCCCTGCACATTTACCTTGGAATGTCAAAAAAGAAAATGATAGATTAATGGAGTTGACTCCTCTGACAACATGGTACTGGGCCTAATTCAGCTGCACTTGAAATATACAATATTAGGTGAGAGTTCTGAAAGCAGTGCAGCAAAGTGCTGGTAATATTAACCCATCCCATACATTTTGGAAGCCCAGTATTGAGACGGGCAGTCTGTTACCTGAAAAAAAGAATTAACAGTATACCCTGTGTGGAAGCTATTTTAATTTATTGGGAAATTCCTTGATTAGAAATCGGCAGCTTGTGGTCACATTGCAGAGCAATCTTTTATAAGAACATGTACTGTTACATGAAAGCCTTTCTTACATAATAAGGTTGTTTTTCCCTCCTTAAAAATCTCTGGGAAATCCAAGGGGAGAATAATAGGGTAGCTGGGCATCACCATTTGGGCGTTGTTAGGTAGGTTTACTGTGTCAAATAAGCATTAAGAAGAGTGGCTTAGCCCTTCTAAGTTTCTTTGCATCTCTCCATTGTGAGAGAATCTGTCATCAGTACAGGCAGCATTCTTTCAACCATCTGGTTATATTTGCTACAATGGCATACACAGAAGTTCATTAATTTTGGTGAAATGTGATAAATGACTGATAACATCTCATCATTTATTTATTTATTTAATGTTTACATATGCATCCTGTCTGCTTCAATGAGTGAAAGGCAGCATACATGATTTTATTCCTTTATATAAATCAGACATGGGCAAAGTGCAGCCCGCGGGTCACATACGGCCCACGAGCCGCTCCTGTCCAGCCCACCTGTCACCGCTGAGTGAGCCGGAGCTCCGGCTTCAGTCACCCAGCACGGCAGTAAGCAAAACCCGCGAGATCCGATGCTGGGATCTCATGACTTGACTGTTACTCTTGAGCCGCAGGCTGCGTGACTTGACTTACTCTTGAGCCGCAGGCTGCGGAGCCTGCGGCTCAAAAGGCCAGAAGCAATGCTTGTGCAGACGATGTGATGATGCATCACGTCGCTTGCGCGGGAGAAGACGGAGAGGAAGGCAATGGGGGGGGGATGGAGGACAGGTGAGTTGGCTCAGTGTTGGTTCCCCCCCCCTTTGCAGTGGACGAATTACAAGGCTCACATAGTTAACTCCCTAATAAGTTTAGGGAGTTAACTATGTCAGCCTTGCAGTTCGTTCACCGCAGGCCCTCACCCAATGGGGGCCTATTACTACCCACAAATTGGGGGCCTATTACTCCCCACCTTTCATTTCATTTTTAAGTAAAGTTGGTTCGGCCTCCGAACACAGTTCAGATTTTTCATGTGGCCCCCTATAGAAATTAATTGCCCACCCCTGATATAAATATATGCTATAGTAAGGGTATGCACTGTTAAATCATTTCCAAAAATCAACAAATTTCTGAAAATCATTCAAATATAATTATATAATGATTTAATAAAATTCTAAAATAACTCCTAATATTTTTATTCAGCTGGGTCATTCAGGTTCTTGTCAGACTCCTGAAATCTATTATTTTATTGTGGTGAGTGATGGATTGTGGCAGTTTTACAGGAGGAACAACAGACATGCTTTGATTGAGAACTTCCAAAGGAGAAAAGATTAGGAGTTAAATGTTGCTCATTTGCACAGGGCTGACTCTGTCACGAGGCAGACTTAAGATGACTGCCTCTGGTAGCTGATCTTGAATGTCATGAAAAAGCAGCAAACTATTTTTTTGATTGGTTGTTAATGCTGGGAGAGGGTGAAGGGGTGATAAGATTGGCTGCTGCAGGTGTTAATTCAGTTCTTCAAAAAAAAAATAATCTGGTTTATGAATGTGGTGTATTGTGCTTTTGTATGTATGATTCAAAAAGCCAGGAAATGGCCCAGTATTGCTGCACAATATCGTGCCTGCACTGCCAGCAGGAAAAAGGATGCCAAGGCAGCAGTCAGGATGGTCTACAGCAGAGGTCTTCAAATTACGGACTGTGGGCCACCTTGCCTTTTTATCTGGCCCGTTCCATTAACCCTGTGCATGTGTGGGGCAGTGGCGAGGGGGGATCTGTGTGGGGTGGGTGCATGCATGTGTATGCACATGCATGTGTGTGAGGGGAGTGCATGTTTCCAGGTGCCGGGGGTACATGCCTGTGTGCATACGCGTGTACGCAAGTTCCTGTTCCTTTGGCCCTCCAAGATCTTAAAAGTATCCAGTGTGGCCCTCAGGGTGAAAAGTTTGGTGCAGAGCAAGACTAGACCTTCTGCTGTATCTATGCCAAATTTGGTGCTGATCCAAGGTCCAATTTCATAGTTAATGTTTGTTTGGGGTACCCCTATTCTTTGAGTTGGCTTATGGAATGCTGATTCCAGGGCACCAATAATCAGGCAGAGCTCCACTAGGGAACCCCTGAAATTGAGAAGCTACAACCTGCCCCAGCATCTTGCCCAAGAATAGGATACTAGAGACTGGCAGTACTTACCCAATACTGTGGGGTCCAAGGAGGGTTTTTTTCAATAACAGTCCTACTACTTTGTCCTTTAAGCATGCTGGGATCCTACCCTGTTGCAAGGAGGCATTCTCCACATAACCATTAAGCAAGTCCCTCTCCGGTAGCTTTTATAAACCAGGAAGAGCCTAGCAGACAGGTGGTAGCCTTCAGGTCTCCACATAATCAGGCTGCAAAAACAACTTTATTGAAAAAGACCCATTTGAATCAGCCTGGCCTTTTTGCTCCTAGCATGGAGGTTTTCCCCTCCTGCCTCTTCTACTTTTTTTTCAAGCTGAAACAATTCAGATTTTTCTCTATGGGATCATCTGTTCCCTTCCGCAAAAGGATAAGCGGCATGTCTATAGGTGGTGGTGTGATGTAAGCAGTTGGGGCATGAAGTTTAGAGACTGCAGAAACACCCACCCCCATTTTTTAAAAAATAAATGAGTCTAGTGATCAATCATTGCGTTGATTCAGTGATGCACTTGCTTAATGCTAGATCACCTCCGTGTGGAATTTTTTTTAGCTATGAAATAGAAACCACCCTGATGAAATACTGAAGACTACAGTATATTGTATGTGTTTCTACAGTATGTGTGTCTCTGTGTACATTATGAAGAACTTTGTAAAGCTGCTGCCTTTTCCCTAACCATGTGCAACCCTTTTAAAAACCAAGCAGCTTGACAGCCAGCCATAAAAGATCTGCAGAGGGTGGGATGGAGGGGAGGGCTGTGGACTGAAATGAGGGTCTCATCATATTTGTCCATGGATACTGGCTTTGAATCAATCCGTGGCCCCTGTGTGATCACTAACTGCAAACTGAAACAGAGGATATGCTGAGATTCGAACTGCCAGTGTAGACGCACCCTCAGTCAGCCACAAGCTTAAAACTAGAGATGAGGGTATTCATATATATATGAATATCCCAGCATAGATGGTGTTAACAAGGTCCACTCACTGATCCTCCAGGGATGCTGCAATTCTACCAATAGCTGTGCAGCTCATGATCCGCTCACCACTGTTCCACCTTGCAGCGAGGCTTGTCCTCCCGCCTCCTGCCAGGAGTGGCGAGCAGATCGTGATCCGTGGAGCCATTGGTAGAATCATGTCATCCGTGTCCATAGTGGATCAGTGAGTGGACTGTCCAGCCTCATGGGGCTGGACCTTGTTAATGCCACCTGCGCAGGGATATTCATATACCGTACATATACGAACACCAAGGACAGGGTGGCGCTGTGGGCTAAACCGCAGAAGCCTTTGTGTGCTGAAGGGTCAGAAGACCAGCAGTCGTAAGATCGAATCCACACAACGGAGTGAGCTCCTGTCGCTTTGTCCCAGCTCCTCGCCAATCTAGCGGTTCAAAAGCATGCAAATGCAAGTAGATAAATAGGGACCACCTCGGTGGAAAAGTAAAACGGCGCGCCCTAGTCACGCTGGCCACATAACAACGGAAATTGTCTTTGGACAAATGCTGGCTCTACGGCTTGGATATGGGGATGAGCACCGCCCCCTAGAGTCGGACGTGACTGGACTAAAAATGTCAAGGGGAACCTTTACCTTTACCTACTTAAAACACATATCCAGCAAAAAGAGGGTTGAAAGCATACTACAAAAAGTTGCATGGTTGTATGAAAAGCAGTTAAGTGTGCTGGAGAAATTATGTACTCCTTTTTTTTTAACTAGAACATGCTAAATGGTAGCAGCTATTTTCACTGAGATGAGTAATTAACAGGGGTGTGTGCGCGCATGCCAATATCTGCTGCTTATGTAATTCTCCACACGGGATAACAAATGGAAATCATCCTTATGTGCATATATTAAAAGTGGGTCTGTGTAAGCAGCAGATATTGCTGTGACCACAAGGGCCTCATGAGGGAAACGTGGCTCTTTTATCATTCTTTATGCCTCTGTGTAGAACAACAGTGCTCTGCATAAGCTTAAAACAGACAACT